ACCCTGTGTTCCGGGAGGTTTCTGTCTCAGTCTCTGACCCTGTGTTCTCGGAGGTTTCTGTCTCAGTCTCTGACCCTGTGTTCCGGGAGTTTTCTGTCTCAGTCTCTGACCCTGTGTTCCGGGAGGTTTGTCGCTGACCTTATGCTCTCTGGAAACCTCTGTCTGCTCGGGGTGCTATGCACCAGCTGAACCTGACTGTGCTGTTGCCGCAAACACTTTGTGACTACAGGGGCACCTTTGGAAATGCCGGTCAGGAACAGGTACAACTTGGTGGACGATGTCGCTGAATCCAGGACCCCTCTTTATAACGAAGAGGCTTTCGAGCATGGCATTCACTTCCAGGCCAAGGTAACGTCCATCAATAACGCTGCGTTCTTCACTTGTAATGTGCAAACAAATCCCATCCTTACTCTCATAAAATCCTGAATGCAAAAGGCGCGAAGAAATGGGCGCATCCTATCACCAGCTCCAACCGTTTCACAAACAGTCCCTGATAATACCTTACATCTCGCTGTGAATCCCAACGGCAAAAAAAAATTACAAAAAGTTCAACTGAAACCTAGGGATTTAAATGTAGTTGATGCAACAAATGCGTTGCAGAAATACGAGAGAAAGCGCGATATTATTTAATGATTTGCTTTGATGGGAAGATGTCGTTGGAATTCAAAACACGTCCTGAACTTTTAGCACTCCTTGCAGTCGGCCTGTGATAGAGCCGCTTTTTAAACTGTGGCCGTATTTTGTACCAGTTCGAATGATAATCGCGGCTTGAGTTTGAAATTCACAAAAGAAATTCACTGGGTCGCTTGCAGTCCGTCTTCCCAGCCGCACTCCCCCTCTCCCCGCTCCTGCAAGCACCGCTTGGCCGAGATGTCGCTACCAGCTGCACATTAATACAATGCACTCTTTTTGTTTTCAAGTACGTTGGGAGTTTGGATGTACAAAGGCCAAACAGTCGCGTGGAGATAGTGGCGGCCATGCGAAGGATACGGGTGAGTCAGTTTGCAGTGGATATTCTGCCTCCATTACCTAATGTGTAGAGTTATCACAATGGTAGGGAAGGCTCATGGTGAGAGTACAGTCAGAGCAGTGTCTGAGTGCCGACATGTGTAGGAGCTACTCTCTCCCTGCGTCACAACAGGTGTGGGTTCACTAGGGGGTGAAGCGTCTACGTTGACCCTTGTGACAAAAGCAGTGGGTGGCAAAAGTTGTCTTTTGTGGCAGATGTACGGAAACACTTGTGGTTCCCTATAACATTAATCTAAAATCAATGTTTTTCTTTTAAGAACAGTCTTCACTTAAACATTACTTCAATTATATTTAATTTTAAACCATATCCTTGATCATTATATTTATTTTTTCCAACCTTCCTGATTAGTTTCTGTTTGCACCACCTACACCATTCACCCAACTTGCAGCCAGTAATTCAGCTCCTGACTCCCCTGAACCCATGTCCACCATCTGCAAGGCGCAAGTCAGGAATGTAATAGAATACTAACACAAAAACAAAGTTGCTGGAAAAGCTCAGCAGATCTGGCAACATCTGTGAAGGGAAAAACAGAGTTTTCAGGTCCAGTGACCCTTCCTCAGAACACTATGGAATACTCCCCAGTTGCCTGGATGAGTGCAGCTCCAACAAGCACTCAAGAAGTTTGACCCATCCAGGACCAAGAAGCCTACTTGATTGGCTTTGCATACATAAACATCCATTCCCTCCACCATGGATGGTCAGGAGCAGCAGTGTGTACAAGCTACAAGATGCACAGTGGAAATTTATTAAGTCTTCTTGGATATCACCTTCTAAGTCCGTGACCACTGCAGTTTTCAAAGGACCATGGCTGACGGACCAGGGAACACCACCACCTGCAAGTTTCCCTCCAAGCTGCTCACCATCCTGACATATAGAGTCATTGAGATGTACAGTATGGAAACAGACCCTTCGATCCACCTTGTCTATGCTGAACAGATATCCTAGATTAATCGAGTCCCATTTGCCAGCTTTGGCCCATATCCCTCTAAACCCTTCCCATTCATGTACCCATCCAGATGCCTTTTAAATGTTGTAATTAACTTGGAAATATACTGCTATTCCTTCAGTATCATTGGGTCAAAATCTTATAACTCCCTCCCTAACGGCATTGTGAATGTACCTATATGAAGTGGACTGCAGCCTTTTAAGAATGCAGCTCACTACTACCTTCTCAAAGGGCTTCCAGAGGTGGACAATAAATGCTGGCACAGCCAACGATGCCCATACTCTGGGAGAGAATACTGTATTAATAAAATATCAGTACTTACCCCATAAAGCACACCACAGTCATCTGGCTAGAAGTAGCAAATTTATCCTGATCTTGTCTCATGAGAACAGGGACCACCTTGGACCAGTATTGTATCAAGTGAGACAGTTAGCTCTTGAGTCATTGAGGGAACTCCTGGTTTTTAATTGGTTCGCAATATATATGATTAACAACAGCTACATAGGTCTTCTTCCATTTATGAACCCAAGGTAGAATGATACAAAAGACCTTAATCTATTCACTTGACGCAGACTTAAACAATATAACAACCACAACTTCCCTGTCAGACAGCAGTCTTGGATAATCTGAAGCTTCCTTCATATGTATGTTGGAAAGAAGCTAAACCTTGGCCTTCAGCTCACACCAGGAGCCCTTGGTGCTTGTTTCTAAATTAGTCCTCCATCCTGAAAGGTATTGTGTTGAACTGGACTGCTTACAACTCTGGTAACCTGTTTGTCCCCAAGCTAAGTTTCCAAAGATATATCCTGTTCTTCACAAAGACATCTTCCTTTTGCGTCCATAACTTTGCTCACCTCTGTTCATTCCTCAGCCACTCTTCTGCTGAAACCCGCATTGATGCCTTCATTGTCAATAAAATTAGATTTAATCCAGGCTATCCTGGCCTTTCTACCCTGTTCCTCCATAAATGTCAGCTGCTTTAAATGTATTCAATGACTGTTACTATATAAATAGCACTTCAACACAATAAAATGTCTGAAGGTGTTTTTCAGGAGCATTATAAAACAAATCACTAAATCACATAAGTTGTTAAAGTAGGTGGCTAAGGAGTTAGATTTTAAGGGGAGATAGAGAGAGAGAGAGAGACAGAAAAATTTAGGCAGGGAATTTCCGAGCTTATGGTCTTAGCTACCCATGGTGGAGAGATTTAAATCTGGGAAGGTCAAGATGCCAGAATTAGAATGGATGAGTACAGATTTCACAGAGGATTGTACAGTTGGGTGACATGACAGAGAGGGGGAGGAGTGAAGCTGTAGAGGGATTTGACAACAAAGTGTGAATTTTACAATCAGGTTGGTGTTTAACCAGGAGCCATTGTAGGTCAGTGAGTACAGAGATGATGGGTGAAGGCATTTGGTGGGAGTTAGGAGTGGCAGAATTTTGAATGATCAAGTTTCTGGAGAGTAGAATGTGCAAGGCTGGCCTGGGTTGTATTGAAGTAATCAATTGTATAAATAACAGAAACATGAATGAAGGTTTCAGTGGCAGATGACCTGCGGTAGTTGCAGTGTCGCACAATGTTGTGGATGTTGTAATTGGCAGTCTTGGTGATGTCGTGGATATCTGGTTAGAAGCTCATCTTGGGCTCAAAAATGACACTGAGTTTTAAAATTACTTCACACAGTTGACAGGAAGAACGATGGAGTTGGTGGCTCGATAGTTGTATTCATGAAAGAGTCCAAAAACAATGGCTTTGGTCTTATATAGTTGAAAGAAATTACTAGGGAGTTCTGAGGAAGGGTCACTCAACCCAAAACATTAACTCTAATTTCTCTCCACAGAGCTGCCAGACCTGCTTAGCTTTTCCAGCATTTTCTGCTTTTTGTTGTTGTGGTGGAAAAAATTTCTGTTCATTCACTGTAGTATGTCTTACAAGTAGTTTGACGATTTAGAGGTAGTGGACGGATTGGGAAAGGAAGCAATGACTGGGACTGGGTGTTGGCAATGTACTGTGGAAATGTAGAAACTGACATGTTTTGGATGAACATTTCTGGAGGGCAGCGCATAGATAAGAAATAGAAGGTCCCACTTGCCAGTCACTCATTCTCAGTCATCAACGTGGGATACTACAAATCTCAAATTTCATATGCATGTATTTAAACTCTTCCATGGATTTTCTTTTGTTGTCCATTACAATCCTTCTCAAAACTTTCCATACTTCTAATTCCAGCATCTCCCCAATATAATTTGTGGTTCGGACGGTAGCATTTCACAAGATTCCAAGTTCAAGACCATCTCTTGGGCTTGAGCATAAAAATCAAGGTTTGCACTCCAGTGCAGTACTGAGGGAACTCTGCACTGTTGGAGATGCCATCTTGCAAATGGAAGCCCCAGCTATCTTGTTGGGTGGATGTAAGAGATCCCTTTGCATTATCTTAAAGAAATGTTTAGTCAATATCTATCTCTAAATTTACATCACAAAGAACAGATTTGTGGGAGTTTGGTGAGTGCAGATTGTCTGTTGCACATCTTACATTACACAGTTCAGAACAGTCCTAAAGAAGAGGCACTGGACTCGAAATGTTAAATCTGCTTTTTCTCCACAGATTCTGCGAGACCTGCTTAGTCTCTCCAGCAATTTCTTTTCTTAATGCATGTTGCTCTATTTTCTATTCAGTTATAGCTGTAGCGAATGTAATATTCATGTGACTGAACATTACATTTTCAAAATTAAATGGTTATGTCCATATTTGGGGGAATCCTCATGTGAGAATCCTCAGTAAAACTTGAACATGTAGAAACAAAAACAGGACTGGGATCTAATTATATTTCCATCTTTGGCATTAAAATAGAAATGTGTTTTGGGGAGACTGTATTTCACAGCAGTTATGTATATGATACATAATGCTCGTGATTAAAAACAGAAAATGCTGGGAATACTCTGCAGAACTGGCAGCATCACTGTGAAGTGAAAAACTGAGTTAAAGTTTCAGATTTTTGTAATGCTGACCAAAGATTGCATCAGCAGCACCATAGAAGCAGAAAAACAATTAAACAAATTTTCTCCCCTTCACTCAAAATGTGAATGAATGCTGAAAATATTTGTATTGTACTCTAGTAAGGAATTGAAGCAATTTCACTTGATTTTAAAAGCAGTCTCATTTTACAGCCTTTTCGCATCCACTTTAATACCCTTCATTCTGTAATTTCTCTCTCCTCCGTAAACCTTCAGTGTATAAATTTATGGGCTGAAGCTGAGAGTATTTGGACAGACAGACAAGTACAAGTATATGTTGAAATAAAATGTTCATTGCAGAACATCACTGAATAGGAATGCACCTTCTAGTGTCATGCTTTGTCTACTCTAGGTATAAACAGCAAATTGCATGCAAGTTAATTTCTAATTCAAACATTTGTGAAGGAGTGACTTGTCCAAGGCCAATGCATTTGCTTATAGTAACGCTCAAAAAGAGCATGTTACCACCATGAATGTACTTGGTTTACTCCCCAGTCTGTGTTGAGTAACTGATTTCCACAGGAACAGCTGTAAGAATGCTACAATTGAGTTCATTGTCTTAAGGAAAGGAAAAAAATTAACCAGGATGCCTGCTTCTGATCATTATCTAGCAATGCTTCACCCCCCCTTCCCCAAGTAAAAGTGAATGTTGCAGTTGAGTAAGGATTGGCTTAGCTGTGATGCCTACTGCAATCTAATAACCTACTGATTTTGCTGATACTTCTCAAGTACGAGTTATGACCAGATGGGAAAGGGAACTGACTGTGCTTTGGTTTAAGTTCTGTGACAAAATAATGTCACTCACTTCTAACCTCAGAGAACAGATTCCAGATATTTTTCCATCTTGTGTGGTGACCAGAATATTAACTAAACAAAGTCCATCATTAGAACCTAGAGTAATAGTAGAAGCAGATGATAAAGTAGCTGAAACGTGCCTTAATGGTGAGGATAATTTAAAGGAAATATTTGGCATGTCTTTATTAATTGAGGCTCAGAAAACAGATTTCTAGTTAAACAAGTTAGCAGAGGCAGCTCACACGGAAGCTGAGACTGAAGGAGTTCTGGAAAACTGTTACATTAAAAGTGCAGTTCAGATGAGGAAATGGAGACATCCTCACAGACCTGTAGATAAAGAATGCACAGTTGTTAATTAAATAATGGTACCGCCCAAATATTGTAAGGTGATAATGTGAGTAACACATGAAATTTCTATGGCAGGATGAGTAGGAAAACGGAAATCACGAACATCGATAAACAGGCATTTTACCTGGCCAGAATTCATAAGGACAGAGTGTAATTCTATAAACCATGTCATACATGTCAGGTCATAGGAAAATCTCAACATGTAGTCAAATAGGAACCTCTAATACCTATACCAGTTTTTGAAGAACCATTCAGGTGGGTGTCAGTAGATTGTGTCAGACCATTACTAAAAGCAAGAGCAGGATCTAGTCTATTGTTACAGTAATGAATATAATAACCAGAAACTATTACATTAAGGACAGTTACAGGTGATAGTGGAAAAATTAACACAGTTTTTTACTTGTTATAGCCTACCAGTTGAAATATAATCTGATCAAAGTTCTAACTTTATGTCTAAAACTTTCCAGGACATAATCAGTCATTTGCGTTTCAAATAATTGAAATTAGTTGTCTATCCAACCAAACACACGAAGCTTTGGAGAAATGCCATCAGAATCTTAAAACAATGATTAAAGCTCATTGTCATGAATATCCAAAGGACTGGTACAAAGGAGTAGATACCTTATTTTTTGCTAGCAGAATTTCCCCAAATAAATTGATGAGGTTTAGTCCCCTTGAATTTATCCATCACCATAAATTGAGTGGTCCATTAAAATTCATTAAGGAAACGTTCTTAAAGCAGAAAGACAAATCATCAATGTTGAATTACGTGTCCATGTTATTCGAGATGCTCACAGGAGCATGTAAAGTAGCACAAGAGCAGTTTTTAACTTCATGAGCAAAGATGAAGGAATGGGCAGACAAACATGTTAAGATTGCAACATTTCTTGCAAGAAACAAAGTAATGGTATTACTGCCTCTGCAGGGTGAACCTTTGAAAGTGAAATTCAGTGATCCAAACAAGGTAGTTAGGAGGGTTAGTGAAGTGATTTATCTGATAGATACTTCTGATTGTTGGAAGAAGAATTGGTTATGTCACATAAACATGTTGAAGCAATAAATAAAAGTAAAGATGCATGGTCTTATCAAACCACAGGACTGCTCTCTCACTAAAGAGAGATGCCTTATGGTGGTTTAATCTGAAGGTCACCACACCTCAGGTGAGGGGAGACATTGAGAGGTGGAATCCTTAATAATGCTGCAGGGAAGAGGATAAGCGAGAGCAAGTGTGTCAGGTTGTAAGAGTGGTGGAGGATGACAGAGCCTGTAAGAATGAGGTAGAAGGAGACAGAGATAGTTTACAAAGTGAATCTATAATTTGATTAGCTAATATGGAAATATTGGGTCAGCTAGACATTGTTTTCATTCTTTTTAATTCATTTGTTGGATGTTTCAAGTGGGCCCCAGTTTTTTTTAATTCACTTGAGGGGTATGGGTGTCATTGGCTGCGCCAGCATTTATTGCCTGTTCTGAATTGTCCTTGAGAATGAGATGATGAGCTGCCTTCTTGAGCTGCTGCAGTCCACCAGCTGTGGGTTGACCCACAACGCATTAGGGCGGGAATTCCGGGATTTTGACCCAGCGACAGTGAAGGAACGGCGATATATTTCCAAGTCAGGATGGTGAGTGGCTTGGAGGGGAACTTGAAGGCATGGTGTTCCCATGTATATGTTGCCCTTGTCCTTCTGGATGGAAGTCGTGGATTTGGAAGGTGCTGTCTGAGGATCTTTGGAGAATTTCTGCAGTGCATCTTGTAGGTAGTGCACATTGCTGCAACTGAGCATTGGTGGTGGAGGGAGTTGATGCTTGAGGATATAGTGCCAATTAAGTGGCTGCTTTGTCCTAGAAGAGGATACATTTAGAGGAAGGATATCAGGAAAATTACTTAGAAAGTTTAAGGAAATCAGTACAGATACACCTGGATGTACTATTTTAGCTATACAGGAAGTAGGCATAGAGAATCAGAACCTATAAAGTAACATCCTTGTCAGTTTATCACAGAGAAACAAGTGCAGATGGAAGCAGAGATTCAATATATGCAGGAGAATCACTTGATTGAATCTAGCCAAAGCATCGGGATTTCACTGCTGGTGTTAGTTTCTAAACCAGATAATTCAACTAGATTCTGCATAGACTTCAGAAAAGTACGTGCAGTCATGAAAGTCCTTGGTTAGAGTATTTTATTGACAGATTTCGTTGTGCCTCATTTCTTTATAAGATTCACCTCTTAGAGCAGTGCTGAGAAGTGCTATTAACATCAAGGGTTAAGGAGATATTTGCTTTCCTCACAGCAGATGGATTATATTAATGTTGTGTCATGTCATTTGGGTGTAAATGCATGACATCTACATTTCAAAGACTTATGAGTGAAACTGCAGTTGAAGTACCTAACTGTTGTTTATTTAGGCGAAGTCATAATATGCAGGAATACATGGGGAGAACACGTAAAGCACTAAGAGGACCTCCTTAAGCAATTACAGTTAACTGGCGTAGAGACAATCTGTCCAAAAGTGAATTCACAAACCCAAGAGTTACTTACCTAGCACATTGTATAGAACGCAGGTGAGTATTGCCAAGACTAACTAAAGTGAAGGCACTAAAACTAAGCAGGAAATTGTGAATGTTTAGAATTTTGGGTCTTTATGGGAAATTTGTGCTTAACTTCAGTACAATATTTGTACCTTTAATAAAATTGTTACATAAACAGACAACCTTGGTATGATCAGCCAGTGGTATGGTCCACAGAATTCCAAGGAGCCTTTGAGAAGTTGAAGGAAATCCTACTAAATAGGCTAGTTTTGGCTGCCCCTAACTTTACCAAAACTTTCAAAATGGTAAATCATGCTAGAAATCGGGGGATAGGTGCATTTTTATTGTAAAATGTTGAGTCAGAAGTAGAGAAACCAGTGGAGTACTTTTCCGTGAAATTGAATCAATAACAAAGGAAGTACTCTATTATGGAACATGAAACTTTAGATCATTGTTGGATGTTTAGCACTTTGACATCTATGTCCAATATCGTTGCAATGAAACATTAATCTTTACTGACCATAATCCACAGATATTCATTGAAAAGATTAAAACTCAAAATGCAAGAGTGTTCAGATGGTGTCTATTGGTTCGACCATTAAATAAAAAGATTATTCACATTGCTGGCAAAGTAAATATAATCACGGATGTATTGTAAAAATGTAAAATGATGAAATAAGTTAAGAATTTTAAGAGATGATAAGAAATTCTATAAGACTTTTATAAGGAGATAATGAGGATGAATGGATGTCAGGTTCATGTTTTATTGCCTATCTGTCATGTGTCATATATGATGAAATGCATTTTCGAAATGGTGTTTCATCTTTCTTAAGGATGAAGTTATGTAAAAGCCACATCTTTTTATTTAATTTTATTTTATTTTGGACTTATGTAATAAAACAAGAGAGATCCTGCTTTATACTGAGCATAAAGACGGCTATAGTTTTTGAAAAATGTTTATTGGAGCCCACAAAGAGTTGTACACAATGTTGCTTTTTCCTAAACAATGAAAGCACCAAAACAATCTGTGTCTCTCTCCTGTGTGGAGTTACCAGAGAGTCTCCACTAACAGCAAGCTGTCTCCCACTTGCTTTTCTCTGCATTTTGTCCTCTTTCTTCATCTCAGTCATTGAAGCAGCTGGAGGACAGTGTTGGCCATGCCATCCCACAAAACTTTCAGGATCAACATTTCCTCACCAAGAAGATGAAGCAGAACTTGCCATTCCACAGTAAATCTGCATGAAAACTGGCAACAAGATCGGGTACAACTGCAAGAGGAGATACTGGAGAAGAACCAAGCTAACTCTGTGAAGGAATTCACCATTGGCATATAATCAGCAATGACCATCTGCTCTGATCTCTCTTTTCACCAGAGAAGAGTAATGGAAATGTGGATTTGAACAAAGGTTGACCAGGGAAAAATGAAATTTTTTTCTGTTTTGTGGTTTCTTTTGTGGAAAATAAAGTTTGAGATTGAAGCCAAAATTATTTAGTTGAAAGGGAAAAAAAGAGAAAATCATCATTAGAGACTCTGAAAAGGGCAAATTCTCAACCAGTGGTATGCAAACAATCTTGCCTCATCAACAAAGAACAAAGGAATTGGAAGAAACAAAAGAAAACAACAGACTATTTCTGTGTTAGTAGGAACTGCAGATGCTGGAGAATCTGAGATAACAAGGTGTAGAGCTGGATGAACACAGCAGGC